CCACTTTAATTTTGAGTGTAACTCCAAATCCAGACCTCCATGGGTTGCTAAATTTGATTTCCATTGATAATTTTTGTGTGATTTTGTTGTCAGCACATTCAACTATGTAATGAACAAAGTATTTAATAATATTTCATTCATTCACATCTAGGATGTCTTATTTTTGTGTTCCCTTTATTTTTTTGAGCAGTGTATTTTATAAGTAAGGAATGTATGTATGTATGTATGTATGTATATTCCCTCTCAACTAGCTAGGCAAAAGTGGAGGGCAGGTTCCAACATCAGTAGGGCTATATATGGTTCTCTCCTTCTTTAATTGCATTAACATTGAAAAACAACCAGGATTGTAGTCCTGCTTGCCTGATCTGACAGTAAGTTGTATTTAATTCAGTAGATCCTTTCCTTTACTTGTATAGAATTGTTTGAAAAGAACAAAACATTCCCTTCCAAAATTGATCATTTAACTGGTCTGATACTAACACTGAAACAGTCAGAACTATCCTCCTGATTTGCCCAATCTGTCATTCTTGGAGAATAGAATTGATAAACCTTCTTAATTGCAAACTATTTCAATTGGCACCAGCAGAAAAGTGCACTCTATCTATTGTGGTCAGAAGATATTGGACCTAATTGCAATTTACCCACTGTAACATTGATAAATCTCTCATTTCCTTCAATTACTGTATTCAACTCCCATTCTTTTATTTTTAATTTATGTCAATTGTTTTGTTTGCTTGTTTGGGAGGAGCAGTGTTGCATCACTTGGGAGTAGCTGAAAGGATGTGACTTTCTTTTTGGTTTATGGCTGCTCTTAACAGCATTGTTGTGAAGTATGAAAGCTCAGGACAGTGGGAAGGTCCAATTAAACAGATTTATTGCTAATCATGCCTACACACAGGAATCTTCTCAATGAACTGCTAGGAGCTAAATAAGGATCAACAGAATTCAAGGGAGGTTGGATTTAGTTTGTGACTATGTTGGGATTTTTGGCTGAACCTTCTTTTAACTCCACCCCCAGGCTCTGCCACTCGTTCTCCCACATCTATGTCTATTCCACATTTCTATTTGAGAAAAGCGGAGATTTCTTCTTTGGGATATCTTGTATTTCTAGCTACAGATAGTGATGGCCATTTGCATTGCTGGATCTCATAAGGGATCTTTTATGTTTTCCAGTTGTCTTTGCTGGGTTTGCTTTTGGCTCCTTCTACATTGCAGGGAAGCTGCATTGCTTTGCACCTGGTGGTCGGGGCCAATCCTGGCACCTCTGCGCCTTCTGGGGACCCCTCTTCATTGCCATGCTCATTGCCTTGTCCCGTATGTGTGATTACAAACATCACTGGCAAGGTGAGGGAAAAGTGTGTGTACGTATGTGGGAAAGACGATTTTTCTATTACATACAAGTCTGTTTCATTGCCCCATTAGTCAAAAGCCCAACATTGCTTATATTTTGGCCAAGAGCCATGTTTTTGAGTTTCATGATTGCAGGAAACATGCAAGGAATGGGTGAACAAAAGAAACTCCATACATCTCTATTTAATTCAAATGGAATAAAGAGTCACAAGGCCATTCTCCATTGGGGCATCTAATAACTTTCCCTTTCTGTCCTATGATGAAATTGTTTTTGAAGCCTGGGCTTTGGTGGAGGTGCTGATGGCTTTGGAGTCTTTAGCTTGTACATCTCTGCTCTAAAGAAAGGAATGGAGGGAGTGGCATCTTTTTCTGCCAAAACTCATGCTCGACTGAGGCCACCACCACCTCTGGTTGTAATGGAATGGCAAATTTCAGTGCAAATATCTGATGACGCTGCAAATCTTAATGGTCTAAATTGTTATTGTATGACTGAGTTGGGAGTAGCATGTAAACCCTAAAAGGAGTCAAGGCCATTGAGGTAGCACTGTGCAAAGACATTTCTTCAGTCATGTGGCCAGCATGACCTCAAGGAGTGCTGTTACCTTCCCACTGAAATGGTACCTATTTATCGATTCACATTTGCATACTTTCGAACTGCTAGGTTGGCAGGAACTGGGCCAAGGACAGGAGCTCACCCTGTAACATGGCACTCGGGTCTTGAATCTTGGCTCCCAGCTTTCCAGCTGACAAGCCCAGGGTCTTAACCGCTAAGCCACTGCACTACCCAAACCCTAAAAGAGGATAAATCAATTTCCAAACCAAATCTTGCAGCCTCTTAGCAGTTGAAAAAATCCCAGCCAACTCTGCCTTCCTTGGTAGCATGGCCCCTGTGCAAAATTAAGACCATTGCTGGCTACCAAAGCTTAGCAGGGGTTGATATCCAATGTGTTAGATATTGATCTTTGTATTCTTTTGTTCCTTTTAAGATGTGCTGGTTGGCTCTGGAATAGGTTTCACCTTTGCGTATCTCTGCTACAGACAGCATTACCCTCCGCTGACGGACCCCAAATGCCATCAGCCTCTGCAGCATGTATCCAGGCTATCTTCTCCAGAGAGGCAAAAGCTGACACTTTCTGGTTTCAACCTAGATGTATGAAGGACTCAGGGGTTTCTTTTCTGTGTATTTGCAGACTCGAGTGGGGGGGGGGAAGAGAGCTTAATCATCCATGTTCTGCTTTGCTCAAAGGCCAGGAGGTGGTAGGGGGAGAAGCATCATTGTCCAAAGTATACCAGCCTGATTGAAACTCAGGGCCTCTACCTCTTCCCCTTCATCACGCATATGTGGCTGAGAGAGTGAATATTTTCCAGGACAGCAAAATTGCAGAGTTTGGGAAGATTTATTTTTTTGTGGCCAACTCATTCCTGGCAATATTGAACCATTCCTCATCTGATCACAACAGAGCAACAAAAGGAGTCTCTAGTCCATTCCCTCATTGTAATGCCAGGCATTGCTCTTGAGTTTAAATGCCTATAAATAGATGCCACATGATCTCAGTGTGCAGTCTTGACCTATGTATTACAGGAGAGGTCTGATGTCTTTTCCCATGATGCCCAGGGTACATTCCTGTCCATCCAAAGACAGATGGGTACAATTGTAATAGTTTTCTCCCCAAAATTCTGCCTTAAAATAGTAGCACGGGGGTGGTGGTAAAGTATTTCAGGATTCAGTGATTTTGTGCAACAACACACCAGTCCTTTCAAAACAGAGCAGTAGCTCAACCATTCACCAAGGACATTGACATGCATTGAAACAGGTATAAAGATAGATGCCCTAAATCCAGACCCATGCATTGGCCATTTTTCTGCTACTCTTAATTACAAAGGAATCAGGAGTCTCCAACATTTGCCACTGAGGTGTAATATTTAAGGAGTCAAAATTAAATCTAGGAGACTAATTATATTAACTGCATATATTTGTTCTGCCGGGTTCCCTCCTTGCTGTTCACTCAAGATTTGTGCAGTTTTTCTATATTTATGGCAGTATTTTTAGTTTTGCATCCTCTACCATTGCACTGCTCTGCAAAAAGTTTGATTCTCAGCAATGCAAATTGGTATTGATTTAAAATAGTGTGATGACTCAAAGTTCGCAAGACTACACACTTCCATTTTTAGCCTTGCTCCTTTTAGGGGGATTTTTAATGAGTTAAACTATGGCTTCACACCACTGCTGTTCCTAAACCACTAAAAATTAAAGATTTCCCTGTGACTTCATGTCCAACTTTAGAGCACAGTGCTCATCTTTTTCTTGATGGAGGGAGCCACAGTGTTGTGGCCAGAATGACTAGATGCCAAGGCCCACAGAATGCTGTTGCCTTCCCATTGAAGTGGTATCTATTTATCTACTTGCATTTGCATGCTTGTGAACTGTTAGGTTGGCAGAAGCTGGGCCAAGTAATGGGAGCTGTTGCATGGAGCTTAGGTCTTGAACCTGGATTGTTAGCTCTCCAACTGACAAGCTCGGTGTGTTTAACTGCTGAGCTATCATGTCCCTTCCTAAACCACTACTCTAGCAATAGTGGGCAATATTCAGCTATCCCCAAAAGGGTTTAGGGGTTCTTACAGTCAATATATTTTGCACTCCTGGTTAAAGATAAATAGGTAAGAACTTTCCTAAAAGGAAGCATTTTTTAGAGTCTATTTAATTCCCATCAATACTCGCACCACAATACATTTTGTTGATTGTGGTGGAATTTCTGTGCAATGGATCAATGTTTTATAGCTCATAACTAATTTGTTACTTCTTGGTCCCTCAATTAGTACTCAGCTTGCGGTTTTGTGCATTTATCCAACTATAACAAACTCCCATTTTCAAAGGTATTTCCTTAGCTGGAGAAAGACCCAAAGTTCAACTTATCCATGTCATTACCCATGTGCTTTGTTTTTAATCTTAGGGTCATTGGATGCTGCTGTTTTCATGTGAAATTGCTATTCTAACATCAGCAATTATGATTATTGATTTTTTTTATACTATTCATACTGTACAGCAGATTACTATTAAGACAGTCTAGGGTGAAACGTTTTTCTACCATAGATAGGTATAACAATTGCAAAGTTTAACAGAATAACCAAACTTGTGCAGCATAACAGCACTTGGGTATTTTTTAAAGATATCTGTGGTTGCATTGTGAGATTAATCCTATACATCCTTAAATCTCATTTGAACAACCAATGAACAGCCAATCTATGGATGATGATCTAACTACCATAACAAGATAAAACCACTTGGATCACTAAGATTACTGTATAAGAAGTCAATCCTAATGATTTAACAACTGTGCTTATTAGAATGACAGATAAAGAGGCCTAACAGTCAGTCAGGGTTCTCCTTGCAAAGTTCAATAAATTCACCAAAGGCAGACAGCTGCTGGAAAAAAGTTAAATAACTTTTTTTTAAAAAAGGTAATATTTTACAAAGTGCATTAACTTCCAACTGTTTGATTTTTCCTATTGATACTCCAATTGAGAAAATTTGGTCGTGTCAAATGGCATTCTGTTCAGCCACAAGTGTAGCATGAGAGGCTGGAAAATTCAGTGATGCAATAATAGTGCAAACATAACGAGAACAACTAAGTATCCGGCACAGAATTGGAATACGCAAGGTGAACAGACGTGTAGCAATAGCGTGATCACATCTTACTTATAAACAGGCTGCTTGCTGCTCCCTTGGCCAAGACTTTCTTGAAAAGAGAAATTTTGCAGAATGTGAGATAAGTGAAAAGCAATTGACCACTTCATGACCCACCCACCCCCCAAAAAACGGTCATGTAACAGTTGGAGGGCCCAACATACATACACCATGAAATCACAGATGTGTTCCACAACTAGCCAGCCAAGATTATGTTGAGACATGCATTGAATTTACACTCTGGCAGACTAAACTATCAATGTGAACTGTCTGTCCAAATGGTCAGCCAATCACCCTGAGCTCCCAAGTAAAATTGCCAGTATAGAGCTGCCCTCATCTGGTGCTTGAAGAAACAATCCAATAACTGGGTAGAGGTTTCTAGGAAGTGAGCTCATTCTTCAGATGCTTTCAAGAACCCAATTGCGTGCATTGAAACAAGGACATATCAAGCTGCTGCTTGTATGAAGTTTGGCACCTCCCACGTCAGAACGTAAACACACAGCTTCTACAACGCTGTTTACATTATGGAGAGGAATCACTCATCCATATTCTGATCGTTGTGAACAAGACCAAATTTACAAGCTTTGCCAGTTCCTTCCCAGGTAAGTAGTTATACTTTAGAAAAGTAGAATGATACAATTGCTACTGCTGGCATCATCATCATACTTATTTCAGAGAAGAATGGGACTTAGCTTGCCCAGCTTTTCGCTTTGACCTTGAGCCCTTTGAGTAAATCAGCAGCAGCAAGAAGAGAAGACAAAACAAAAATGAACTCCCCACAAACAATCGGACATGTAATGCTGAACACTCGGTATGACCTCAGAAGTGCTTCTAAAAGTCAAAATCCTTCACTGTCCATCACTCATCTTGAGGTTTTTTCTAATGGAGACAAGAAGTGAAATTCTAGCACCAATTTCAAGTCTTGACTAGTGCATAAACTGAAGGTGACACAACTGGTATTGCACTGGATCTAAAGACATACTGGCTGTAGACAGAAAATGCAGTTCGGTTAATTCACAAGGGCCTGAATATACCAGGAGTCTGACAGGATCTCAATGGTCACTACTATCCCTGAATAGGATACTGAATTTTCCAGAGTTCCAGACTATGAGGAGGAAGCATGCTGGGCACATCAGACAAAAGAGGAGGAAGGTGACAGGAGATCTGTAAAACAAAGAAACAACATGGTACATCAGCCATGTTAGGTTAGCTTTTCATTGAAGGCAGCTGATCTTGAAGGGGATCTAATTCAAGGAAAAAATTAATAGAAGACATACAATATACACGGCAGGATAATTTCTAAATCTTCAATTGCTTTTTATCTTTTTCTCAAACGGTAGCCAGAGCTAACTGGCCTCAAATCAAAAAAAACAAACAAGACTTACATATTTGGTATCCAGAGTTGTGCAGCTGGTCAGTTTGTCTCTACAAAGGGGGCTGATCCATGCTGATGCCCTTTGTTTGATAAATCTCTTTCAACAACAATAATACTGTGTCCTCTGACTCCCTAGAAGGAGGGATAGAAAAAAGGAAAAATAAACAACTATTCATTATTGATTACACACTAGCAAAATTTTGATGTATATATATTTCACATACTTAGAATCCTAGCTGTAATGCATATAGTTAGCTAAATTCAATTCAGGACATCATGTTTATCCCATCTGTATACAATTTGAAACTGTGAAAAAGTAAAAACTGGGCATAAGCCTAACTTCCACCTCAGCAATTAAAACAACACAATACAAAGAAAGGAGATACATAAATAGTTATGAGCCTTTTGGAGAAGAATAGGAATGATGGAGAAGATGAGAGACAATACAGTCTTCTTCAACTGCCACCTTGCATGACAATACAGATGAGAAAGCAATCTGGCTGGAAGGGTTGAGTTAGCTGATCTAGATTGCTAGGCTGGTATCCTACCCTTCCTGGCTACGTGTGCATCCTTCCCAAACTTGCACGCTTAGTGGAAGACCAGATCAATATCCTGGGTCAAGGGTATTTGATGACAGCCCCCAACCAGCAAAACTGTTGGGTACCAGATCAGGATTAGCCCAGTAGACAGAGCTTACCAGTAGCATAAATGGCCTTGCAATGCAAATAAATATTCATTAAAGCTTTCAATGGGTTTCTCTTGAAGCACGTAGTCAATGCGATGGCCCCCGTTCAGCAGCCCCACATTAACTGGAGGCAGATCCTCTTTTGCTGATGTGGTTGGTTCCTCTGGTTTCTCCTCTGTATTCAAATGGAAGAAAACTGAATCAACACACTTGTAATAAGTGAACAGGCCAGATAAGCTAAGACCAGCCTTAATTTTCCTGCCTAAGGTAATGGTGGCAGCTCAGTCTTATAGAGATCTCCAAACATGGCAAGTTTTAAGAGTCATGGACTTCAGCTCCCGGAATTTCTCATCCATCCATGGGAGTTGAACTCCTAAACCAGAATCCTGGGAGCTGAAATCCACAAGTCTTAAAGTTGCCAGGTTTGGAGACCCTTGCATATTCTCAAAATAACTTTCTTCAGACAATATTAAAAAGAAGTGGCAACTCTTGCCCACAACTACTTGGATAGCAATTCTAGTTGAAGAGTTACAGTGCTCTGTGCCGAGCCCTGGAAACTGCCCAATTCAGTCCAGAGGCCATGAGATCTCTCTTCACTCAATAGAGCAGAAGGAGCTCTTGCCTGGTACCAAGGAGGCCCTCAGGCAACTCAGAATCTCTCAAATATAAACCACTGTATCCACATATTCATTCTGCACTATTGATCCCAAATCTTTATGACAATGGGAATTTTATAAATGGGAAGCCTGAGCCCAAAGCAACACAAAATGTGTTCTTTTGCATGCACCAAAGGTGAGCAAACTCTGAGTGTGCAAACCATAATTTAAACCTAGGCTTTAAACCAACCAGGTTGCTTCTCCATGCTGGGTTCAGCTTCTGACTCCTGTTCCACATCTCCTGTGGCTCCTGCCTCCACAGCTGGCAATGATGTTCTGGTAAAGGACTGCCAAGCAGTCCTCAAGGAGCCCAGCAAGTTATTTTTCAGGTCCATGCTCATCCGAGTGAGGCCTTCCTTCAATTCTGGAAAAATAAAGAAAAAAATTCAAAACCAGAAAAAAGACAAGATTGCATACAGGTGAAACTTGAAAAATTAGAATATTGTGCAAAAGTTCATTTATTTCAGTAATGCAACTTAAAAGGTGAAACTAATATATGAGATAGACTCATTACATGCAAAGCAAGATAGTTCAAGCCATGATTTGTCATAATTGAGATGATTATGGATTATAGCTCATGAAAACCCCAAATCCACAATCTCAGAAAATTAGAATATTGTGAAAAGGTTCAATATTCTAGGCTCAAAGTGTCCCACTCTAATCAACTAATGAAGCCATAACACCTGCAAAGGGTTCCTGAGCCTTTAAATGGTCTCTCAGTCAGGTTCAGTAGGAATCACAATCATGGGAAAGACTGCTGACCTGACAGTTGTGCAGAAAACCATTATTGACACCCTCCATAAGGAGGGAAAGCCTCAAAAGGTAATTGCAAAAGAAGTTGGATGTTCCCAAAGTGCTGTATCAAAGCACGTTAATAGAAAGTTATGTGGAAGGGAAAACTGTGGAAGAAAAAGGTGCACAAGCAGCAGGGATGACTGCAGCCTGGAGAGGATTGTCAGGAAAAGGCCATTCAAAAGTGTTGGGGACTTTCACAAGGAGTGGACTGAGGCTGGAGTCAGTGCATTAAGAGCCACCACACACAGACGGATCCTGGACATGGGCTTCAAATGTCGTATTCCTCTTGTCAAGTCACTCCTGAACAACAACGTCAGAAGCGTCTTATCTGGGCTAAAGAAAAACAGAACTGGTCTGTTGCTCAGTGGTCCAAAGTCCTCTTTTCTGATGAGAGCAACTTTTGCATCTCATTTGGAAACCAAGGACCCAGAGTCTGGAGGAAGAATGGAGAGGACACTGCAAGATGCTTGAAGTCCAGTGTGAAGTTTCCACAGTCTGTGTTGATTTGGGGAGCCATGTCATCTGCTGGTGTTGGTCCACTGTGCTTCATTAAGTCCAGGGTCAACGCAGCCGTCTACCAGGAGATTTTGGAGCACTTCATGCTTCCTTCCACAGACGAGCTTTATGGGGATGCTGACTTCATTTTTCAGCAGGACTTGGCACCTGCCCACACTGCCAAAAGCACCAAAACCTGGTTCAATGACCATGGGATTACTGTGCTTGATTGGCCAGCAAACTTGCCTGACCTGAACCCCATAGAGAATCAATGGGGCATTGCCAAGAGAAAGATGAGAGACATGAGACCGAACAATGCAGAAGAGATGAAGGCCGCTATTGAAGCATCTTGGTCTTCCATAACACCTCAGCAGTGCCACAGGCTGATAGCTTCCATGCCACACCGCATTGAGGCAGTAATTGCTGCAAAAGGGGCCCAAACCAAGTACTGAGTACATCTGCATGCTTATACTTTTCAGAGGTCCAATATTGTTCTTTGTACAATCCTTGTTTTATTGATTGCATGTAATATTCTAATTTTCTGAGATTGTGGATTTGGGGTTTTCATGAGCTGTAAGCCATAATCATCACAATTATGACAAATCACAGCTTGAACTATCTTGCTTTGCATGTAATGAGTCTATCTCATATATTACGTTCACCTTTTAAGTTGCATTACTGAAATAAAAACTTTGGCACGATATTCTAATTTTTCGAGTTTCACCTGTAGATGTGCAACCTAAATGCATTTTAGACTAATGTCTATGGAAGTTCTCATTCATCCAGATAATGGTTGTCCCAAAGGTGCTTTTATTTTAAAGGCAATTGAATTGATTTGCTTCTCATCCAAGAAACTTTTTCAGTTCTAACCAACTGGTGGGGAATGGAAAGGATTTATATGCTCTGCATTCAGGCAGTTGGACCAGGTTCTAGAGTGTTTGCTATTGAAAAAGCCTGTCATTCTAAATCAGTGTTTCTCAACCCTGGCAACTTTAAGTTGTGTGGATTTCAATTCCCAGAATTCCCCAGCCAGCATGAATATCTTTGTAAGCATTCCTTCATACATTATAGGGAAAATTCTGAGAAAGTGACTTCATACCCATGCAAC